GATGATGAATCAAAATCAAAATTCTCTAAGCATGAAAAGAGAACTTGAAGTAAATTTTTTTTTGCTCTATCATTTTCCAATTGCGCTACTGTTTCAATTAATCTTACAAAGTGATAAGTGCAAATTTAATATCATTCAAATACATATCAGCACACCCCAAATCTATTTTAATCCCTAAACCTACTTGTTTATGCAAATGCTCACCATTATTTTCATAACATTGGCAACACACATAGCGAACTTCCCGGGAATTGCATATATTTTCTGTATATAAGCTGTCCTTAATAGCTGGACAGAGAACCATTCCATGACAAGATACTTGTAATGTCTAATTATATACAACTTGCTCTGCGACTAAAAAAAAACTTTTTTTTCTTGCAAAAAAAGCAGATATGGCAATTAATTTGACTTCTATCAGTTGAGCGTTCACTTTTTAAATTTTCTTTGTGAACAGTATTTTGGTCATAATTAAAATGCCTTCTACATACTCCAAGAAGTTGAAGTTTGCCATCAATCTCATTAACGGCTTCTATATCAATTTCCCATACACCAATTAGTTCTTTTATGCTCTTAGTACTGGTTTTATTATAGCGACGTATCTTTTTATAATCATTATCTATTATAATACACGATGTAATTGGCTTTGCCGTAACCAAAGGAATTTCTTCAGTGAATTCACCACCGGTTTTCTCATAGTTTATTTTTTGTAAAACTGGTATGTCTTCTGCATTAAATTCTTTCCACGGATCACTTTCAAGTTCTGTTGAAAATAAGGCTTGCTCATATAAATCTTGTTCAAAGTCCAACACAGGGTCATTGTCATTGTTTTCATCATCTGATGAAATCTGGATGTCTATAAAGTGTTCTTGTGATTCGTCCTGTGGGGAATTAATATCTATTTTATTTGATGATAAAGATGGTGAAAGTATTTTATTATATGTTGTGTTTTGTTTGATGTTTATTATTGAATTGATAAATGGTGCTTTTTTTATTTTTTAAATATCAGCCGTTTTTACTATCGAACAAAGTGTTATCCGCAAGTGATAAATTAAATATGTAGAGGCAATGAGATTAGAATAAATTACGCAGGTTGTGAATTGGATTCATGAGAAGAGTCAGATAAGTGTAGTTTAAATAGAATTACTTTTTGCTCTTTTTTGTTATATAATTGAATTCTGGAAAATTTTATTAAAGATTTATTGTAATCATTAACTATGAATTTCTTTTTATGTACAAACGATAGAATCTTGAATGATAATTGCAAAGAGGAAACGTATTCCCCAAAACAACTTAATGAATTTCCTCATTTACCTCTGGGAAATTTTTATTTCAGCCACGATAACGCATCCCAACACAGATTCTTTGATATCATTGAGAAAAATACCTTTTTTAAACAACTATTCTCAAGGTATAAGCAATTTCCAGTGTCACGCTCAGGTAAAGATTCAGATCAAGCGGATCAAGCAGATCAATTCATTTTTTAAGAGATAATTAGTATGTAAATACTAAATTAGAAATAACGATAATTTATTTATGATGTACTAAAAGTGGCGTGGCGTGGATCTGTCAAGCTTGGAATTTTTCCCAATTCGAATCTTATACTAATTCACATGTAAACGAAACTAACTAGAAATAGAATTAAGTATAATGTAGTAATGGTAAACTAAATTAATCAATTTAATTAATAAATAAATTTATTGTAACTATATCAATCATCAAATGTATATTTACTTTATTTTATGAGTACAATTTATTAAATATTTTTAATTCACAATTAAAATAATAATAATAAAATACTGCAATAATAAAAAAGAAAAAAATTAAAGTATTTATTATCTGTATGGGACAAATTCAGTTGTAATCTATTACAATGATTATATATTACACAATATAAAAACATATATCAAAATCAAAGCGAGAACATATTTGCCTCTTCTAAATAACTTCCAAACTCAAAAAAATTAAGCACTTGAATTACCATCAACAAGCACTAGGATCATACTAATTCTTTTCACAAACACGCCTACAATATTCAATTTCTTGAGAAAAGAAGCAAATTTAATTGCAACGCTTTTCTACACGAATTTTATGGCAATGTACGATGCTTCCAGTAGTCTAAAAACTAAAAAAAAGACTTATACCTTATACAGATTAGCTCAATATTAAACAGTATTCTTAAAGACAATAAATTAATATTTTTACCTATATACAAAGTTCTTACAGCTATCCGGTGAATATTATGTACTCTATATCTGAAGAAAAAATTTAAAGCGTGTACACACTTTATGCTTACAGTAGGCAGTCTAACTATTTAAAAAACTGCATTTGATTAATATAGATTTTGTGATTCACGCCCAGTCTAATTCATGGCGGATCCACTATTTGGGGGATCTTGTATACGGCACTTTACGGTATAGCCAAAGTCAATATTGTAACATTTCCAGGATCTACAAATCTAAAATAAAAAAAACTTGGCAGTTAGCACCATTTAATTTTATATTCTAAACTACTTTTGGACTAGAAAATTAAACAAAAATAGAATGCTGAAAGAGTGTTAACGATCAGGGGATATGTCACGCTGCAGGGGTGGCTACTGTACACTTATATTAAATTTTTATTGAATGATCGACAAATTTCTTATATTATTTGACAGAATTTTTCTCTTTAAGCCGTAAGGACTTTTTTTTAAGAAATATATTTTATTACTGCGCTTAACAAAAATG